CAGAGGTCCAAAGGTTTGCACTGGGGGACAACAGCACGATCTAGGACAGGAAGAACAATAAAAATGTAAAATTCATAGAACTTTGATGCCCAAGATAAAGTTTAGTTACCTTTCTACCTCCTGCCAATGGTAATAAGTCTGGATATCATACAATTAATATGCAAGTATGTTATTTTTTTCCACTGAAGAAAGATATTTTCCATGTTTTGCTATCCACCATTATTTCCAATCTTACTTCTTCAAAATATGCTTCTTTAGGATCATTTGTATCTACCTAAAATACATCAAGAGTTACAGTATTTTTAGATTTGACAGAAATCATTCAGTATTCAAAACTGCTTGCAAAATATAATTTCAAAGTTTCCAAGAGTTACTGTTCAACAGCAACTTACAAACATACCTGTGATTCTGCCTGAGCAGAAATGACCTATTTGCAAACTTCCCTCAGTAAGGAACTTCTCAGTAAACATGGTCATTATCCTACAATGCCACCAGCAAATGAAGAAACTGCTTTAACTGGGATAATCCAAGCTGCACAGCTTAGGGACCCTGAGGTCTTAAAATATACTTAAATATACAAACGTATACACAACAGAGAAGAAGAAAAAAAAGGAAGTTAAATATGGCTTTTTTTCACTTGCCAGACTATCATAATTCATTTCTCAAACTTCCCATGTGCTAATTTTGTCTGGGATAGAGTTAAATTTCTTCATAGTAGCCAGTACGGGGCTGTTTTTTGGATCTGTGCTGGAAACAGCATTGATAACACAGGGATGTTTCAGTTATTGCTGAGCAGAGCTTACACAGAGTCAAGGCCTTTTCTGCTCCTCACACCACCCCACCAGTGAGGAGGCTGGGGGTGCACAAGGAGTTGGGAGGGGACACAGTGGGACAGCTGACCCCAACTGACCAGAGGGATATTCCACACCATATGACGTCATGCTCAGCATATAAAGCTGGGGGGGAAAGTAAGGGGGCCATGTTTGGAGTGGCCTTTGCCTTCCCAAGTAACCGTTGCACATGGTGGAGCCTGGCTTTCCTGGGGATGGCTGAACACCTGCCTGCCCATGGGAAGCGGTGAATGAATTTGTTATTTTCCTTCATTTGTGTGCGTGGCTTTTGCTTTATTTTATAAATTGGCTTTATCTCAACTCATGAGTTTTCTCACTTTTACTCTTCTGAGTCTCTCCCTTGTCTCACTGCAGGGGGACTGAGCGGGTAGCTCTGTGGTGCTTAGCTGCCAGCTGGTGTTAAACCAAGACACCAGATTACTGAAAATCTTCTGTGTTTTAACAAAAAAAGAAAAAAATAATCTGTTCAAGAAAACATAATGTACAAAGCAAATATTTAAAGTATACGCTTCTAAAGAGCTGGATGACTTAATTATAAAATGTAAGGGGAAAATGTAAGAAGTTTTCTTTAGAGAATGCAATATGAATATTGCTTTTCATCTTACCTGGAAGTAGCCTGCATCTGCAAAACTGATCAGTTTACTGTTTTAATTGGGTGAAAACATCAATTTTCTTTCTGCAGATAATCCTCCCGCTCCCAAACTGCCCCTTTATCCCCATCACATTTATGTTTATTGTGTTCTATGTTTGTGTTTACTAAGTCCCAATCTGACCCAGTGAAAGTTACTACAACCAGCCGAACCACTCTCACTACTCTATCACAGGGAGTAACTGTAGCCATAACTCAACAAATTTTTTCATCAAGATTATTTTCTCTTTTATGACTGTTTTCAAGGAGACAATGTCATATTCAGAATTTGAATCCTTTTGCTGAAAATTAAAACTGTGAGCAGCTCAGGCCTGTGCTCTGAACAGGCTCTTTACATGGGTATGTTTGTGAATTTACTCAGATGTTTAAAAATTCAAAGAAACTACTAAGAATATGTAAGTGTCTCAGGATACAAGTGTTTGTTCTTTTTGCTCTAAGACTCAAGACCACAAATAATAAACACAATTCAATCTGTTCCAACCTTTATCTTCAAAAACAAGCAAGCAACCAAACTCAGGAAAATTTACATGATCAGCTCTCCTTTCAATTTACATTTGCTATCCCAACTTCCTTGCTAAGACTTCAGTTGAACATAAAATGTTACTCAAAATTCTTTAAAGCAAACGAAATCCAAGTCAGAGACATCCAAGACATACATTCCTCTCTTGATTCTGCATGTAGCTTTCTTCCCTTCTTCCTCTTATATTAAGCCCAAACCCAACCTTGACGAATTACATTTCAAATGATTGCAATGACCTGTCTTTACAGAATATTAGAAAGAACATGAAGAAACCCTTTCTGCAACAACAGCAACTTATAACAATCCTAATTTTTTTCCAGATCTTTATATGCTAATCCATTAGAGAAACCACCTCCAGCAGGAACATGACTAATCATTGCTCGAATTTAACTGAGCTAATGTCTATTTATAACATAGGAACAAGGCAAAAAGCAATGCAGTGAATCTGATAACTGGCTGCAGAGGAAATAATTTTGTTGCAAATTCTTACATTCTGATGGCTCCATGCAATATAAACAGATTCTATCCACTATAGCAGCCTCATCTTTGTCAGAAACAGAACTAGTCATATCACAAGTAAAATAGTCATTTAAATATACTGCATTTAGATTTTTAATACATGGGATATCCACACTTAAAACATTTAAAGATGGCTTAGAAGCAAAACTGAGGGACAAACTCTGTGTAAATATCTTCCTCCTCCTCTACCTGGAGCAAAAATTTTCAGTCATATAGGGGATAAAAACATTTCTTTCTTACCAACTTTTGTTTACACATAAAAAAATTAGGTTCATCCAGAATATATACTGTATGTTTCAATAACTTATTTTTTCAGTATGAAACAGCATCTTCAAAAAGATGACAAACAACAGTCATCTTGAAATGATCCTCTGAAAATAAATATTACCTGTAGAAAATATAGGAACAACACATGGAACTTTCAAGCTTAGAATTTGTGCAATTTTTTTTAAGTGACTTTTTTGTATAATCAAAATGTAAACTACAAGATTATAGACTGAAAAACTATTTTTGGAATATTAAAAAAAAATGCAAACAGTGTATAATATACAAAGAAATGAAATAGTAAACAAGAAGCTTGCCTAGATGAAGGAAACTGGGTGTTCATAAAGATTCTATTCAATTTCCAAAAAACATTTTTGTCTAGCATACCTATATTCACAGCATGTTCTCAAATGCCAAGTCAGATTTAGTAACAAGAGTATATAAAGAAACATCATTTGGACACACAAAACATTAAGGTAATTTTTTTTTTGTAACCAACGTTGTTATCAATCACATTTATAATTTTTCTTATAGCACGTGATCAAATAAAACAGAAAACCAGAATGTATACATTGCTAATTTTTTAAGTAATGTTATGTACATTTTATTGCCAGTATATGCACAATGGTAAGCATAGAACTATAAATACACAATGGAATTAAACAGTAGAAAACAACAAGGATGTTACAGGGAACAAAGGAAAGAAAGAGGAGACACTATTTTCTTGATGTAGCTGCTAAAAGGGGCTAGCGACGAGTTGCCACAGTTGTGGTTTGAAATCTTTACATATATTCCTACAGCTTTTCCTCCAAATAAATCTCTGCAATGGCATTGCTTCTTTAACAACCACATCTTAGCTCTCTCTATTGCATTCACTTCAAACTAAAGTGAAAACAACCTTTCATGTAACTACAATCACCTGACTTCATTTTTATTCAGTTTTGCTTTTTAGGGTTCATAGCAAGTAAAGTGTATAAGTAGTTTCTTATGATATTCCACTGCAATGTTGAAGAACAGGGTTTTGAATACACATTAAGTGATAATTTTGAAGGAAAAAAAAACCCAACAATAATAATTTCTGTAAATAGTTCTTCCACCAGGTGCTATATGCAGCAGCTCAGTCAAAAATGAGTCACCCTGAAGAGGTAGAGAGAATTTTAGCCTAGCACAGATCATCATCCTTGGCACCACTATTTTCTCTCTTATCAGGATACACTTCCTACAACTAGACAACATCAAAGGGGAAAAAAAAAAAAAGTCAGGGGAAAAAAAAAAGTTCCACTATTCCTGGGAAGGGCACTGTTTCATCCCAGTTCTCAGTTAATTAGCTTGCTGCTTATGTCCAAGACCAAAGACCGAAAAAAAAAGAAAAAAAAAAAAAAAAAGAAAAAGAAAAGACAACTTTTAGGGACACATTTACTTGATCTTTGTTCTCTTTCCATTATCAAGTTCATAAATACAAAGAACCATTATTCACAATAAACTAACTCTTTCAAGAAAATGGAAAAACAAACCCTGGAAACATTTCCACACCTTAATCCAGATGGGTCTTGAGGATGCTATTCAAGAAAACCATGCAAATAATTTGGTGCAGCTTTCCCAACTCATCCAAAATATATATACTTTTTTTTTTTTTTAAATTAAAAGGTGGCAAGATCCATAGCATTTGTGACTATTCCCCCTCCCTCCCCACTTAAATTCAATGCAGAAAATCTTGGTGCTTTTAAGAAGGTAACGAATAAATAGTTTTCTGCACTGTTGTCATAAAATCCCATGTGAGTTACAATACAAGACTACTTGTTCCAGCAATTAGGTTGAGAGGAAACATTCTAGTGATAAAGATAAATACATACTGAGCATGCTTGGGCAGAGCACTCCATTCTGAAGCATCCTGCTTGAAGAACGAAAGGTGACAAGGATGGTTCACGTCCATCAAGTGACCATTAACTCTGCTGCTCAAAAGCAGACTGCCACACTATCACCAGGTCGGCACTGCTGCCCTGAAAGGGCTGTCTTCCACATTAAGAGGTACTGGTTGTACCAGTCCTCTACTGCGCACACTAAATTCTTATTTATGCAACAAACATACAACCAATGAACAATATCACTTTTACAGAACTGGATCGATCCAGTTTTGGTTTGTGGTTTGTGTTTTGGTTTTTTTTTGTTTTTTTTTATAGGCCTATTTCTCAATCTCCAGAATATCCCAAACAAGCTGTAAATAAGATGATGAACCACCAACACAGTGAAGGAGTCTCACTGCAGTTCAGACTAGTTCAGCCTTGTTTCACGTCACTTCTTGTTTCTAGCGAAGGACGTGATCCTCAAACAAAACAGCAATAAAAAAGTAATGTTATCTGCAGCTGAATAAAAGCAACAGAATTTATATTTTAACTTCTGAAGCTTAAAGCATACCTTTTTAATTAGCATTAAAAAAATCTTTAATACAATAACACTGGCAAAAGTTAATGGGAAGACACAGAGGACTGAACAGGCTAACTGATGGATTATATTGTTTTTAAATTTTATTCTGCTTTGATCAGCTGATGTTAATACTGTTTTTTCTTGGATTTGGAATAATTCTATTGCAACAGTCACATGCAGGCTGAGGACAGCCATTGGTTAAAGGAGGAAAAAAAAAAGAAAAATAAAAAAACAAAACAAAACAAAACAAAACAAGAAAAAAGTTCCAGAAGTTGTATGTAAGAATTTCCTTTCACTGAAGAGGGCCTTGCCCTTGCTTTAGGAGACCTGGTTAATTCTTGCCAGCTTCATTAGCTTTGTCCAGACATATCTGCTGTTGTATCCCCTGGTCCAGAGCCTGTCTGTGCACGTTTGATGTAAAGGTTCAATAATTTCATCTGCAAATTTAAGCCAGAAATTCACTTTGTTTAGTATTTGCAAACTGTACAGAATACAGAAATAGTACAACAAAGGAGACATTATATCATATGTTCTTTTCCCCAAAAGCAAAATTATATTTTACACAGTTGATTCAAAGGTAACAACATACTTGTTAATAAAAACGTCAAATAGCAAAATTTGTCACAAGGAAAACTGCTCAAGCTTCTTTAAGGATGTAAAGAGGAGAATGATCTAAGGTAGGTAGATTAAGACAAACGGAGTATTTTCCTCAAATTACAATGCTGTTCTAAATAAAGTAGCTTTTTTTTTCCTTGATGTTGAGGTTTTAAGCCTCTAGTTAAAGAGCTGTTGATGCCGATACTTACTAAAGCTTCCAATACTGTCTAGAATCACATTCAACACAATCAGTGCCAGAGAATATTTTTAAGATATAACTAATTCAAAGGTAGACAAAATTAATGGTCGTGTTTTATTCACAAGAACAAGGAGATTCAAAATTAACATACATCTGTTTGCACGCAAAAAACTGCATGTAAAAGATGTCAATAAAATCACAAATATCCTGAACAGACTGATTACTATTATTATCATTTCAAATGAGAGGTACTGAAAGGACTGATGAAGGCGAAATAACACAGAGGCAGAATAAATAAAACTGTTCTATTTATTACTACTACTGGGGATACAACCAGTAACTAAATCCATTCAACAGCAGTAATAAACAAAATTTAGTATTTATCTTAATGCTAAAGTTCACACACTTTCATAAAGAAAGATCTATGGATTTTCAGTTTTGAATATTTTATGACTAAGATATATTAATCCTCAGAGAGTTTCAGTAGCCCTGCTGTTCTCATTCAAGTATATACTTCATGAAACTTTCTGGCAATTGCAACCAAAATGGAAATGCATACATGCAATTACAAAAGCAGATTTCTTTAAATGGTATCTTTTACTTACTTTACTGCCAGTGAGTTGACTGAGATGTGGTTTTAGTTCGTCACCTATTACTGCATGAATGGCTACAAGGCAGAAAACACATGCCTTACGAACGCTGCTCTCTGAATTATCATAACCCTAGAAAGCAATAAAATCAACATTAATACCTTATCAGTTAATGATTAAAAGCCTCAGAAAGCTATTTCCTTGTTTACTATAATAAATACATTGAAGTCTACAGTAAATTAATGCTAGTGTAGCCCAATGAAGCATTACAACCAAAAAAAAACCCAAACATGCAAATACAGAACATGCACTTAAAAAGCAGGCTGCTTATTAATCACCATTGATAATCATTTTCCAGACTGAAATTAAAACCCACACAATCCTGTTCATAAGTTACACCGAAAACAGAGCTGCTGTCATGCAACAGGGGAGTATAGGAGAGAAAGTGTTCTGTATTATACAGATATTTACTTAAAGCAGGAGACCACTCAATTTAGAGCTTCCTCACTCTGAAAGAAGTATTCTCTTAACAGCTAAAGATTCTTCACTTAATCCACATCTCGTTCCTTAATGAGTTTTTGGTTTTTTGCCACTTTGCTAGTACCTCATGCCCGGCTGTCTCACTCCCACCCCCTTCTCTGCCCCCACTTTCCTGCAGATGTATGATCAGATCACAACCAAAGACAGAAATCTGCAGAACACAGCTGTCAAACTCTGAAGAGTCTTTATCCATCACATGCAAATTAATGTATCTTGGCTCTTGATAAGGTGGGAAAAAGAAACCTCCAATATCTTTGTTTTATTAAACTTTCCCCAATCAACTGCTTCTTTCCTCTTGCCCACCCCCTAAACCCCAAGTGATAAACCCTACAATTATACACAAATGCAACATGGACAATTTCGGACCAAATGATTGCAACTTGGAAAAAGATAAAGACAACAAGCTATTTTATAATTAAAAGTATCTACTAAGCTTAACTATAACCAGTACTTTATATCCTACTGAGATTTCCTGTGAGTCCTAAGCAAAATTATAATTTAGCAACTTGCCAATCAAAGAGTTTGTTCCCACTACCTGAGTCATTTTGGGTCAAAGCAATTATCATGCACATAAAATCCTTCATGATAGACAAGTGCTATTATTTTTAAAAAGGCTTTGCAATTCTTATATGTACAGTTTCTCTTGGTTGGTTGGTTTTGGTTGTTTGTTTGGGTTTTTTTTCTTCTTCTTTTCTTTCTTCTCTCCTTACCTGTATTAGACCTGGCACAATCTCTGGTAAAAGCTGCGTAAGGGTTTCTTTAGATACTCTTTCTATGACTTTCGTCTGCATTTTGATTGCAGCCAGATTAATGGGGTAATCTGCAGTTTGGATAATTGGACAAAGAACTTTGATGCATTGATCTGGGCTAATGGAAGTGGCCAGCATGGAAGCAGCTTCTTCAGCAGATCTCACCACCTATTGAAAGAGTAAGTAAGAGACATGGAAAAATGATTTACAAGAGACTGTTACTATGGTCTGTTATCTGATGGCAATGGTCTTCAGCAGAAAATTGTAGAACTTTATGTAGAATTTATGCATATTGTAGAAATCTGTGAATGAAGAGCCCTTTGAAATACTGTTCACAAGATTCCAGTTGTTGGACATACTTTCCTAAAAGCAAGACTCTTCCCAATATTCTGTGGCTAATCTATCAGCAACATGCATACCAGTTTTTCAAATCTGCTTGTTGAATCAGATCTGAAATTTCTCTATTCTGCAATACCCTCCAGCTACATATTGAAATATCACCACCTTTGTAAATCAGTAATTTCTTGTGTTGTCATTTGTTATTGCTTCTTGGGTCAGTGATCACTGATGAGACATGTTTGCACATTCATCTCAAAACCACGTTTAATTACATGCCTACTTTGCTACTTCTAAAAGTCAATCTAGCTGTTTTTCCTCCCCTTTAAGTCTGAAGGAAACTACGACAAGAGAGTACTTAAAGCCTGAAGAATACACAGAACAAGAGTAATCAGGCAGGAAGTCAATAGGTACAGAAGCTCAGGATACAACATAGGCACAACAGAGAAAATTCACATTGGATCTTCGTATTAGTGCAGTTGTGGTGCCTGCCATCTAGCAAGACAAACTACTGTACAAAATCAGTGATCTGGATATCAATGATGTATAAAAACCTCCATAACTGTTCCTCTCCATCCTTGTCCCCTTTACTCTCTCACTCATTTACATGAAACCAAGAGGGAGAAAAAGCACAGTAACAGAGAAGGAAAGATGGGGACAAGACACTGTAATAAATACAGTATATGAAACAAATCAAGAGGGTGCAGGGAAAAAAGAAATGAGTATCAGATGAGTGACAGAAGTCAGTGGAATGAGAGGTACTGCAGTCAAACTTCAAAACCTGGAAGACCACACTAAGTTCCACATAAAGTGCCCTTCCATGGAGAGGGCAGGAGGATATATAATTTAATAATAAATCTGGATTCCTTCCATAGCATCAGTGACACTGATGTAAACGGTTTAATATTGGGGTGGTTACTGTATATGTGTTTCTTTCATCCACATGTATTATCCTTTATTGTGTATCACTAATACTTCTGAGCAAGGTTACAGTTACCCTTCTACTTCTGAATCCCCTCACTCTTCTCAGCCACAACCAACTCCTCCTTTTGATAACATTCTCCCCTAACAACATTCAAAGCCCTGCTCTCTAATGGTGCAGAGCTGGCTAAAAATGGAAAAGGTTGACAATTCCTTGCCATGTTCAGTCCCATCTCTCAACCACGAACCTTAATGAAATCTAAAAGCTTGTTGTAGAGTTCCAGGACACCTATATCTGGAGCTCTTAAGGATGTATAAAAGGATGTCATACAAGGAAGATATCATACATTAAGATGTCATACAAGGAAAAAATTCCCTTCAGTTACTCCCTGGAGAGCTGCAATGACACATTGTCGGTTACTATGTCCTCTTGGACAAGGCAATTGTTATTCAGGCTGATATTAAGCATTTGAGAACTTATAAAGCTGCAGTTATTTTTTTCTTGCATACCCATGTTAGCAAATCAAGCTGAATGCTTGGTTATTAAATTACTTCCTCAGTAAGATCTGGCTAATTTCTCAAACATTTTTTGGACAGTTGTTTCGTTTTGTAGTAATTTGTCATAATCTCAAACAAATAGAATAACTGATTACTAACCTCCTTATGATGATCCTTATGTGCTTCTAATGTCTTCATGATTGTGAGCTCTGCATAATTCTTAAATCTTGCTGGCTGGTTTCTTAGAATTTCTCTTAGAACTTTCAATGCCAAAGCTCTAATTGCATGCTAAAGATTTAATATTACAATAAATGAGTTATGTACCTCTAAACAGACATACATTTGTTCAGCAGCTGGATGAGTCTTTGGTAATGGAAAAATATCAGATTATGCTCTATGCATATATACAGTATGAATCTAGTGTTAACAAATAAAGCTAGGAAAAAAATCTTCAGTTTCTCATTCTTCTCAATCTCTCTGTTTGCAGGTAATTCAGGTGCCATACCATAAACATGTTGTTAACGTAATCAAGTTATCTAGGTTATCCAGAAGTTAAGTTGCAAACAACTTAACTCTTCACAAGTGCTGCTAAAACCTTTAGGATCATATAATGCAAACATATTTTTCAAAAATTTTTTACTTGTTTTTTTTTTTTTTTTTTTTTTAATCAAAGCAAATATTGTATTTCTGATCCTCAGTAATCTCAAAAACATGGCCCTTGTACAGAACAGTTATACAGAACTCAGTCTCTTTACAGTAAGTATTACTGTATTTCAGAAATATGCTTAAATGCTTTGCCACACATGATGTTTTGACATGCTAGATTCCATCAGGGGCTATTAACGGATGAGCTTTGAATGTCAGGGAAAAACGTTTCATTTAATGTTTTGTGTGAGAATCAACAAATAAGAGCATTTGAGAAGGTAAGTATTACTGATGCCCTTTTCACCACCAGGGCATTCAGACTTCACGACATTTCTGTATTTCCACATTTTTTTTAGTTTTTTTTCAAGAGTAACTGGAATTTGTGCCCCTCCTACAACCCATACAAATTTCAAAGATACTGAAAGTAAACAATGTGCTTTGTTAACATTTTTAATTGGATTCATCTAAATTTACCTCTTTATCTCCAAGTGTTTCAAGCAGCAAAAGCAGTATTGTTTTGAAGTGCTCATCCCAAACACCGAAAGACTCTTCTTGAGTTAACTTCATGAGCTCATACAGGGCAGCCTTTCTTTCCTCAACTCTCTCATTATGGTTTGATAACTCTTTCAGTAACTCTGCAACCAGATCAGAATGGTCCATGGGAGGTTCTGTCAAAAAGTAATACAGAAACACCGTTCTCAGACCACTGCAAATAAAGATTAACACCTGCTGTACAACTGAACAATATTTTCTAGGATGGCCAGCTGGCTTTCTAGCATGCTTTTACTTTTTTCCCCAAATGTGTCTGCAAAAATTGCAATTTGACTACTACATTTTCAGTGCAGCCAACACTGCTGAACAAGCTTACAATCACCAAAACAACCCTACAATGATATTGAAAAACAAAACCAAAATCAAACCCCAAACCCCTGTGAGCTAGTTTCCTGGAAGAGTTTTTGTGCTTGCAATACCCAAAGTGATAAGTACTTCTGCATCCTTTTAAATCTGATCTATACATTAAGTGCCACCTTTCCCATATGACCCTTCCTTCTGTTAGTATTACAGAATTGTTTAAGACTTTTTAAAGCCACAGCAACATCTAGGCTTTTAACACAAACAGGGTGAAAAAAAAAATGCACAAGAATGGCGCTTGATACAAAATAGCTGAAATAGAAGCAAACCAAGTCGGTTAGTCCCACAGAGATTCCTGATAGCAGTCATTATGAGATGGCTCTGGATTTTAATTTTCATTAGAGAAGATTCCACGATGATAGAAAAACACATTAGTAACACGACCCATTTTTGTAAACACTGGACTGCGAACAGAGAGATATGCAAACAGTCAAGAAACTTAAAAATGGTCTCCATGAAAATTAAATATCAAGTTATTGCATCTATTCACTCAAGACTCATTGAGCCTTTAAGAAAGAAAAGCATATAGTTCCATCTTTGCACTGAGATTTTGGATAAATTAACAGAGAGACTTTTTTTCTGGAAAAAGGTTGAAAGTATTGGCATAAAATGCAAATCTTCCTGCATTGTGTATTTCCTAAAATTATTCCATTTATTAACAGATAAACTACATTATCCAGAACAAATTTATTAGGTCATATACTGAGAAACCACAGCCCTTGAACATCCTGTATTACTGTATTCGATGCTGTAACTTAGGAATGCTGTACAAAGCACCTGTACAAAGAAACAAGTAAAAGCTGAATACCCACTTACCAAGTATCTTAAAATAACACATCAGTTACCTTAAAAATCACAGGCTTTGTACCTAACATTCCTATTTGTATTCTGTTTTGCATGAATAATCAGGAGCATGAGCACCTGAAAGCGGAAACTTTCTTCTGCAAACGCTTCTACTGCCTCTGTATTAATACACACTCTGCAGACTTTCTAAATGGATCATTAACAGACTGAAATTGCACTAGGGAATTCATTAATTAGTACAGATGAGCAGAACAGACAATCACTTTTACAGAAGCAAGGTCATTACTTTTGTTACCAGAACTACTACACTTGTTCTACCAGACTGTGAGGATTAGAGCTACAGTAAATCCTATTTTGGGGAATGCATATTGCCACGTAATTAGCAAAACTACCCATATTTGTTTGAATAAAGTTATTTTCACTGTGAAAGTATCAGAATGGAAGAAGTGGCAACTTGAACATATAGAGGGAAGGAGTAAAGAGAGGAGAAGGTAGCAGCCATATCCATGCAGGAATAATGGGAAGAAAGAAGCTCCATCAGTGGAGGAAATAGCTGGAATTCCTGAAAAACATTAAGACAACCAACAGTGATGTGCCTTCACAGCCTGTATCTTCCATTCCTCTGTATGACTCAGCATCCAGTGTTTCATTTCCAAACATTCTTCAGATAAGAATGGAGAAGCATCAAATAAGTCATATTTAAAGTCTACTCTCAAAATTTCTTTTTCAGAAAGAAAACAAACGAGGGGGAGCAGATGCAAGTCCTTCATTTGAATGAATTAAAATATGCATTAGAGATATAAATACATGATGAAGAACAGCTCTTCTCAAGCCAGTCAAATATACAGTGTAGGGGTTAAAAGGAAACACGTACCTATGTCCTGAATTCCTACTGTCACCCACAGCATCTTAACACAGAAACCACACAAACATGGTGGCCAAAAATGCCAACAAAGTGGGTGCAAAACTTAATGAATCATTTGCAGGGTGACTGGATTATAAACAGCTTTCTAATAATCCAGGAGGGCAGGAGTGATGTCCCTGTTCAGGTCTGTGCAAAGCCTGGTTCTGTTTCATGCTTTTGATAATGATAGCAAAGAAATACAGAAACCACTTATAAAATCTGCAGATGACATCAATTTAAGAGCAGTTACAAACATTCTGGAGAACAGGATAAAAATTAGAAGTTATCATGATAAATCAGAGGAATGGTCTGAAAGAAAAAAAGATGGCAAGGCACAGAAGCAGAAATCTTAAGCCCATATACAAAGTGGGAGGTAAAAAGGAAGATGTTTAGAAAACAAATCCATGGAAGTAAACTGAAATAAGCAAGCTTCTCTGAAGAGGAACACTGTTTTTCAACCAGAGACTGAGGACTAAGGAGTCTGGAAGTGACTTAGAAAACCAGGTTTTCCTATGCTTTGGATAAAGAGCATCTCCCCTTTGGGGGGGAAGTGCTACTGGTTGGAAGATTTAGGCTGTTACTCTGGAAACCTTTTTACTCTAAGAGAGGCAAAGCACTCAAATGGCCATGTTGGGGTACACTATGGCATCTCCTCCCCTGGAAATTTTCCACTGTTAGATGTGCAGAATACACCTTCATGCCTCTGTGCTTTTGACAGGACTATATAAGCAGCTAAGGTTTTCCTATCTAGCCCTTTATTTCTGCATCTTTCTCCAAGTAACACATGAGAGGATAGCTGGGAGTCTTGTAAAAACAGGACTTTGTCATTAATGGGCAGCAATTCTGCTGAGTTTCTGAAAATTAAAATCTAACATCCAACAAGCACTTCAGATTTATGGGAAAAGCATGCAATTCCTAATTTAGGGATTGCTTGTAGGCACAAAGTGTTCTGCAGGGTGTACCTTTTCTCATGCAGACTTTTTCAAGTTACCTTAGATGAAATTCCAAAAGTAACGAAGGACAGAATGCACATAGTATAACTGAAATCTAAGGGTGAACACAGGAATGAATGCAAGTACTTTTTTAAGATCCATTAAAAAGCAGATCTAAATAATGCATTGCATTATTCCTCTAGCTAGGACAAACTAATACTGGATGGGGATGCTTCACTCCAGCTAGTCATTATTTTTGACAAAACCAGAACATGCTGGCCATATCAAGAAATATGTTGTCAGAAGGTATAAAGAGGCTTATCCCATGTAACAACAGGATTCCTCTAACACAGAATCTCGATCACGAACTGGCTCTGTATGTGGATGACAAAGGTATTTCATTGTTGATGTTTACATTACATGATTTGTAAAAATTTGCTTTCCCTTCAATACTTTTCAGAGGACAGTATTTGGCCACATGCCTCTTCACTAAACAGATGAGAAAAAGAGAAATGCACCTTATGAGTTTGTTTTTAATTTAATGTAAGCTTAAAGCCAACTTAGAGAATAGCTGAATAAAACACTATGCCAGAAAATAGCTTTGTTTTTCAACAGTTCCTATAAACGCATCTTTGCTGGATGACAGAAGCAAAACAGACAGAAGGGAGAAAATTCATTTGTCCCTCACTATTAATAAATCTGTTTAAAAACTTATTTTAATCTATAACTGAGTATGAAATATCAACAATAATGAATACCAGACTATGAAAACCACCCACCTACTACTTTTTAAAATAACGATAATAGTGATAATTTGTAACCTTCCCAACATTTAGATATAAAAAAATACCCAAAGATATACTGAGAAATATTAAAAGGAAGCTCTAGAAGCCTACAAAACAACAGCCCAAGTTCCTAGATTTACGTGGGCTAAATGAACCAACCACCTTCCTGGCAAAAGCTGGTTGTTTAGTTTGGTTTTTTTTTTGTTTTTTTTTTAAGAATGTTTAGTCAATAGAAAACACCAATGTCATGTTTCAAACACAAACATCTTACTAACAAAATACTTAATCTTTCACCTAATTCCCAAACTGGTTTCATCCAGTTTTACTCCCTTGCTGTAAATATTTTTTCCTCCCCACCCCCTGCGACTTTAAATTTCAATCATAAAGCGATCTGGTAAGTAATTTATATTGACAATACTGCTACAGGATGTGCTACCAGAAGTACACAATATAGTTCTGTTTCCATCTCATTTTTACCCTTAATCTCTACAAATACCGAGTAATCCAAGGGTGTCACTCAAAAGGATCACTAACAAAGAAACTAGTTTGAAATACGGCATTTCAAATGCTGTCCAGAGTCCAGCACAGAGCCACCAAGAATATTAAGGGAGTGGAACATCTCCCTTGTGAGGAAAGGCTGAGGGAGCTGGGTCTCTTTAGCTTGGGGAAGAGGAGACTGAGGGGAGACCTCATTAATGTTTATAAATATGTTAAGGGCGAATGTCATGAGGATGGAGCCAGGCTCTTCTCAGTGATGCCCAGTGGTAGGACAAGGGGCAATGGGTGTGAGCTGGAACACAGGAGGTTCTGCTTACACTTGAGAAGAAACTTCTTTACAGTGAGGGTGACAGAGCACTGGAACAGGCTGCCCAGGGAGGTTGTGGAGTCTCCTCCTCTGGAGATATTCAAGACCCGTCTGGACGCCTTCCTGTGTGATCTCATTTAGGTTCCTGCTCCGGCAGGGGGATTGGACTGGATGATCTTTTGAGGTCCCTTCCAATCCCCAACATTCTGTGATTCTGTGATTTGTAAAAACCTCTCAAAGAAGCAGCACTGCTGATACATATAATGCTCATAATAAATTCAGAAACTGAACTAAAAGATGGAAAATCTCACCATTTTTCCTCTAGCACAGAATGCAATCTGAACCTTACCATCAGGAAATTGCTCTGCATCATCATCAAACATGGCTTCTTTCAAAGCAGATTTATTAAACGAACTGATGCCATCAGAATAATTATAAGGGTTATAATCTCGTGAGCGTGGCGAAGAGTGGGGAGGCATTGTATTGAGTAATGATGTTTTGTTATCAAGAGCTGTTCGGCCTGTATCACTCACACCACTTCCTGCTCGTAGGTCTACCATTCCAGCAGCACTGCAAATCTGCAGGAAAAGAAATATCATACGAGCATGAAATACACACTTACCTTTTTCAATAAACTACATTACTAATTCATCTATGTAGCAAAAACTTACAAATTGCAAAAATTTCAAACTAGCTTTCAAATAAGAAGTCTTAGAAACAATTCCCTAAAATTTGCTTTCCTAAAAAAAAAAAAAAACCCCAAACAAACAAAAAAGGAAGTGTACATAGTCCAAAAAACATTCATGAACTAGAAACAGGTGTCAGTATTTTATCTCAGAAGTTTGGTGCTAATTAAAAACATGTTTAAGCATATACACATATAGCACTGAAAAAGCCACAGGTTTTGTACAGAATAAAATAAAACCTTTGGAAAAACATATATTAAGGTGCAGGTCTCTGAAAAACTGAACTCCAGCTGTTTTGCAAGATAATCTATTTTTAAATTGCAAACATTTTAAATAAACAGATAGTGCTACTTAGAATTAGCATTTCCATTTCCAAAATGTGGTTCAAGTCTAGGAACACATTTTTCTGAAGCTCTGAAGTAATTTATGAAAAACATCCCATTTCAGAAGTTGTAACATATAAACCTACTGAAAAAGATGCTTTATAATCTGTAATAAATCAGTCATCAGCTTGGTTTACTGACACCAAGATGCACTGAGTTCAAATACTCACCGAATCACCATCATCTTTTTTGGAATCTCGTTTTACAGGCTCATTCATATCCTCCTGACTACGAAAACTGAAATTCTGAATGGCTTCAGTGACTCCACGAAGAGAGCTGTAAATATCTTCAGAATTCATATTTTCAGTGTCATAGTCAAATGCACTGTAGGCCATGGAGAGGGACACAGGAATTAAGATGGGTTTACTTTGTAACCTCTTATTTTTAAATAACATTAGCATGGAACTATAGAGACTCAAGAAAGATTAATAAAATTATTATTTTTCTTGAAACACATTAAGGAAGAAAGCTGGCTCTCCACATAACAGAATTGTACTATGGTACAACTGAGTCAGTGTACTGCCACTGACAGAGAAAGCACTGGGAGTAGCTAGCTAAGGGAAGGATACATTATGTAGTAGTACCTGCCTGAAGAAACAAACTTCTTTTGTTCTGTTTTACTCTTATAAATATGAAACAACTGAGATTTTTACACCATTCTCTCTTTCTGAAAAAAATTCCAAAATAAGGGGGACTTATAAAACTCAACAGTTTTCGCAGTAAGTTGATTGCTAAAAGCAAAATTACAAAGTCCACTTCACTGACAACATCAGTATCACAAAATTAAAGACCAGAACAGTTATGAGCTGCTATTTCTTTAGTCTCCCCAATACTGTTTGATGACCAAGCTGATCTATTCTAACATTTGCTAGAGATGAACACTTCCGTTCCTTATCTTCCTAATTCACGTGCACTTCAACGTGCACAGTCCTTCCCACCTCAGGCCAGCCCTGGCACTTGTCAGACCCTTCAGAGAAGCTAAGCAGATCACTGTACTGTCATTCTGTCGAGGGAGGGGGATAATTTTTCAGCATCTGTCACTTTGTGCAAAATTAGCTCCACACTTTCACTGTTGGGGTTACAGTTTTGGATAAAACTGTGAAGCCTTAGATGCAGAACTGTAGCAACATCAGCCTACATTACCTTGGTGACAAAGTGTTCTGCGATGTATTGGTTGGAGAAGTGAGAGGACTTGACCAACTTGCTGGGGAGCGTGGAGTAGGTCTTGTTAAAGGACTTCCCATTGATCCCTGAAGGAGAGGTGAGAAGAGATACTCCAGTGGGACTTCAGCTTCCCTTTTAACTTACTATTGTATTTATTTTCTAGTGCCCAAAAACATTTAAAGAACTTGTATTTAATTTCTTGGATTGGCTAACCAATTACTAGTGCCTTCAATCAGGTAAAACTTTGAAATGAGTGAAGTAAAAGATGAAATACTCTTAAAAAGCACATTCAAACTTGGAAGCAACAAAGACTTGGGAAGTATCATTCTCTGGAGGAAAAAGAAAAGGCATTCCATAAAGAGTGATTTCTGCTACTAAGACAAACTTCTACATAGGATTTGGGTTGCCTCCCCTCCACTACCAAGCTTCTTGCCCTCAGAAATATCTCTACTGAAATGGACTTCTATTCAAAACATCAGGAACTTCAGATAGAATAATAAAAGAGGTGTAGGTACCTGACCACTGTTGCCTGTGTTCCGGAGATGATTATGGAGAAGCTTTGTGGCTCCATCCTGAAATGTTTTTGGTAAAGCACCCAATAGCATTGTAAACTCTGGAGTGTTGAGTTCAAAAAGGGAAATCAGCACGGACTGTGCAGCCTAGAAGAAAATACAGACTGAAGACGTTAACTTGAGTTTCTAAAGTAATTTTATCAGCAAGAGATGCTATAATGAGTAGTAATCACAAAATGTGACTCAAGTATTGATCAAGCTTGAATAAAGATGTTAAGAGATGTGAATAAAAGCAATTAATATTTGCTGTAAGCTGCAACTTCAGATATTGATAAATCCAGGCACACAACAACAAGCTTACACTTTGCACAATCATTTGAACAAGCAGCCTTTCAGAAATGTGCTCCTCTACCCCAGGGTCCTTACTGACTTAAGAAAAGTACTGAAGGAATTTGCAAAATGGCTTTTAAAGAGTTTGGCAACTTGAACAAATTTAAAGAGAGGAATGGAACACATGAGGCAGGAACAGGCCTGCAATTCCTTCTCCTGAGTTCTGCAAGTGGTAATTACAGATGATGGAAAACCAACACACTAGCTCGAAAATAAACAGTTACCATTTTAGAAATTAAAAGAACCAGATACCTCAATTTGGAACGAGAGAGTCCTGATTTTTAAGTTGTGATCACAAGTTTATAAATTATCCTACAGTCAAACTAATTAGTTAACTTCTCCTTCCCTTCCCACCTTGCTTCCTTTATCTTTTTAAAAGATAGGCAAGCACCACGAGGAACGATTTAGCTGACTACATATTCTAAAGATGAAAGCTGTGAAGTATTGGAGTTTGTAGTCTACTGGATGTCACCTCCCACTCCCTCAGTTTTACTAGTTCATCTTTAACATCATCCTCATCCTACAACATGTTTTACTATATGTATTTTTTTTATCTGAATCAAAAATCAGAGCTTTACTGACACAGTAAGTTAGACAAGAGTTGGGTTCCCTCTAATAAAGGAATGTTGACTGCATGACTTAGTAATGTTTGCAGTTTGATGAGTATTCACTGGACAAAAACCTGTCAACTGAGCAACTAAACTAACACATGCAAAACAAAGGCTAGAGATTAAGTTCTCCAGAACTGTTTAATAGTTTCTTTGTAGTACAAAACTGATTCTAAGATTAACCAACTATGTCTAGTTTATACAGCTCACCATCAAGGTCTGCCATGCACTGGAGAGAACCAGTGCCTCATGCTAGACAGAATGATAGGCAGCTTGCTTATGCAGCAATATACTTCAAGCAAGTAGTTTAGAAAATTCTTTTAGACATTTATTTCCCTTCTTTTGCTTCCAGAGCAATGACCTGTAGCATTTTTTAATTAAAAGTGGAAAGCCAAGGTACGAGCACACATACCAGCAGTATTAAGTTTAATGACAAAAATACTAGTATGTTAGATTCCACAAATTATCTTTGCACACTCGTGACTGGCTGTTTTCTTTAACTTTATTCCCTTCTCCCTCTGGTAGTCTTCCCTTCAAGCAAACACCCTGAATGCCCTCTACAATCTGTCTTTAATGTTTCTCTTTTACTTGTTATTTCTTATGGTCAGTCTTTTAACAGAAATTGATGCAAAGCAAAACCAAAACAAATCCAGCAACTGAGAAAAGGCTTGGGCATTACCACTTCCCTTTTTCTGTCCTGTTACCTCTGTCTCCAATCCATTACACTGTGTCTATTTAAGCTGCCAATAAAATAACAAAATAGATAGTCCAAGGCCATATGAGGAAAGAAACTGATACACTATGTACATACTATGGATCCTTGGTTATTAATTGGTTTTGCATTAAATGTGCTGGTAAAAATACGATGAAGCAGAGGCAGCAGTGGGCCATCAAGCAGTGAACCATCAAGTGTGTCCAAAATGAAGCTTAACCTAAAGCACCAAAATTGATATAGACTCACAAAAGATTTTCAGCTACGTAATTATCTATTTTCTTTCTCTCTTCCTTGACAAAAACCTGCATTTTAGAGTATTTGGAGGTTTTCTTCTCCTCAGCATAAGCTCTCTCTTGAGATTTAAGTCAAGTCATATAGATAACATCTTTAAAATCTGCAATAAGGATTAGAATTTTTTTTATTTTCTTTTCTTCTTAGAAGAACTCTAAGAAGATTCAAATTCTTTCCAGAAGTATTCTAATCTTAGAAGAAATCTAAGTTCTGAAACACAGAATTTTACCTTCCAGAAAACTGAACTGCTCTAAGAGTGCCCAACTTCAGACTAATAAAAGAGGATTTTTCATAATACTTGATACTGGAAATGTTTTTACCACAAAAACCCCCAAATCCATCAATTGCACAGAAATACACTTGGCAAAAACTTTTAATTTAAGGAAGTCATACTAAATGTTATAAGCTTATTAAAATAAAAAAAATTTAAAAGTCTGTGATATCAGGCTGTGAAGCCTATTAAGAGAATGAAACATTTTATATCACTAGAATAACTCTTTGACCACTTATTGGTGAAACTTTATTTTCAAGAGTTATTAAAGGCTTTTGGCAGTTATTTGCCTCTAACAGTTGTGTTACGTAAAGAAAAAATAAAATGAGAAAACTTCATATAATTAAGGTGTTCCAGATGATTAAACTGACTGGCAATTCTTTCCATGATTCAGTTACTTATTGACATAAAAATGCTTATTAGAGATATGAACCATCAGATAAGACAGCTTGCCACGTGTCTCAGTACTAAAACTTTACTGATTTTGAAGATAGTGCTGCTTCAATTCTCCTCCTGTTTTATGGCCTTACATGTGTCACTAGAACATGGCACTAGGCAAGAAAAGTCCACAGGACAATCTATTACTGCTTTCTTGTACTCATTAAGTTATATAAGAATTGAAAGACAAACACTGTCTCCAATATAATCTCTCCTATGTTTTTTATTACATATTACAAACATTCTAGATATCAAAAAGTTGTTCAAGTTATTTTTATTTTTGTTCTCTTCACATTACACACTTTGTGAGACAGCTCCCACTATTTTCTCTCAATTCTCTCCCACAAAACATCCCTCCTAAGTTTTGATATTGTTTCCAAAAATGATGAAGTTGTCAAAGTTCAAACTTAATTGAAAATAACAAAGGAAATCTAAACAAATTAATTGTTGCAACTCTTCGAACTGCAGAAATAAACAGAGAAAAACCCCACAAGAGTTAGTTCTCTGTGTCAAAAATGCTTGCACTTATAAGCCATAAAGCAAATATATTTACTTAGCATTCAAAAAGTGTTAGCACGCTGATAATGGCAGCTAAGACAGAATTGCTGGTAACAATGAAAACCAAACCAAACTCTATTTCATCAAACTGCAAACAAAATTCAAAGATTTTTGCTTTCTATAATTGGAAGGACTATTTAGAAACCCTTTCCAAAGGCTGCATTAGTACATTTCTCATGGTTATTCTGTGTCCCTGGTATATCTCCATAGCTCACAAATACTAATTTTCACTTCACAACAGTTAGGTGGAAAAGGGAGTTTTGCACTGGAACTGCAGCATTACAAGAACAAACTTTTGATGCTACCTTATGAAAGCACAAACTTTCTTTTGTCAAACAGTCAACAGTAATTTACCTATCTTTGGTTAAACACAAAGGATTTGAGAAAATCCCATAGCGACTGAACAGAGGTTGCTACCAAACTTACCATTCCTGTTATGAATGTGCTATGAGTATCACAAAGGGTGGTCTCCAAAGCGATACTAACACTGTACAGAAAAGGCCCACTGAAGAGACTCTAATACCAGATCACTTGAAACAAAGTTATTCCTTGTATTATGAAAGATAATCTCAACATATGAACATACATAAAAATACAACCCTAGCAGCAAGTTTCAAGATGTTTTAATTTTAAATTTTTAATTAAATATTCTTAAATATATATTTGGCAATGTTTTACTTTGTCAATTCTGATACTTTATACAGAAAATTTAGGTGTGTTTGTTGAAGAGGATATAAAAGTATCTCTTCTCTACAAAATAGTACGTTTGTTTCTAAAAAAAAATTTTTTTTTTTTTTTTTTTTTTTTTTTTTTTTTTTTTTTTAGGGAAGAAATATTGATTTCTCTAATTTGCCAAGATACTTGGAATGTACTGCAAGTCTAAGCACACATTAACAAACAAACATACCTTTCTAACATCTGAGCTTTTAGGTTCTGTGGTCCAGGTGATGATTCGAGACACTGCTAACCTAGTTTCACTTGAATTTACAAAATCTCCTGGATCCATCTGTTGTGCAAGAGTCTCTATGTATTTAAGGATTGCAACTTTGACCTGCAAAGAGAAACAGAGTCAGGGGGACAGCAAAAACAGTGTGCTGCAAGAACAAGCATGCTCATAGTAGTGTTAATTTCCTAAAATAAAGATGACTTTTTTTCCCCCCAATTAAACTAAACATCTTTTCAGCATTGATATAAAACTCCGTACAATAAATCAATTTATAAATGGATATAACATTTCAAGAAGGGAAATGAAATGTAATGTAATTTGCCATCATTTTCATTCCACATAAATTTAAATATTAATAGAAATCTTAGATTTCACTGGCAGCAACTAAAAAATACATGAATTGCTGCATAGGCAGAAACATACATTTAACAAAAAGAAAACCAAAGTACTCAGAATATTTAAGAATAATCAAGATTTTAAAGAATTATTCAGAATTATTAAGAACCTTTTTCAAGTACTAAAATGAAAAATGAACATCTGATGAACCAATAATCAATTCCTATTAGATCCTACTACGCAGTTAACACTCAGCATTCTTTTCTAAAACACCAGAGTTGAACAGTCACTATCTGTGGGGATAAGCCACATGAATCTTCCCATTACATACCAAAAAGGTATGGAATAACATTTCTACAGAAGACTTGAACGGGGCCACATGCACTTCGGAGACATGGATTTACCAGGATAGAAAAGCTGCTTTATTCCCTCATTTATCTGAGCATTGTCCTACTCCACTAACTCCCTTTACTCTTCCTGCAGAATCTGTTTTATACATCCCAGACTGCAGCCCCTCTCTAGTTTCCCCAAAACTGCATCACTGCATAGGTTTAGGCAAAGGGCTATTATGCCTCTATCTCCCTTAAATATTTATCTCCTCAACTGCTGCTGTCCCAGAGATTCGTCACACAATCCATCAACAAAGGTGGTGAACATTTATTTTGGCTATTTGACTTTCTGTTCTTATTTCCACTAATAATTATAGTGAACAAGAAATACCTACTAGGAGGGAGACACCTATGTTCATCCTAACCAGAAAGAAAGAGTTTTGGGTGTATTTTTAATTATTCATGGCTTGTAGTATAACTGCTCTGAGCAAAGCTATTTAGAAATTTCCCTTGGTCATGAAAACTTGCAAACTATTAAAAACTCAAGATACACTAAGTGACACACATTAGTGATAGTTGATACATACAGATTAGTAATGGATACTCCATTTTCACAGCAGCTGTTAAAGCCTGACTTCTCCAAAGTTATACAACAAGCAACAGCTGGAATCTTTCATCTTATGCAGATCAAAATCAACATACACAGTAAAAACCACACTATTTGCTATATTCTTTCCAAGGAAAAAAACCCAAACTACTCTGCAACAAAAAAAGAACTTAGGCTACACAGTTTCCCAAATACGAAATAATAGTTAAAATTTCTAGATTACCAATGAAACCATTACAACAGGACTATACTTCACTGTTCATGATTTAAATATATATAATGCCACACCTTAAAAAAAATGACTGTTGAGAACTGTAACAGTTAAAACATCCAGAGGCATTTCTCACAATGAAAAAATTCTGGAGTATTGCACCTGAGAGAGCACTATTATTTAGTGTTTAAACTACTCCCCTAGAGTAAATCACAGACTTCTGGAAAGATGGATGCTCTCAGAAAACAGAAGATCACTGAACATAAGATGAATGGAGAGAGTTTGCACTAAAAAAGCTTTTCACACCGAGACAGATACCCAAAGCTAAGTTTGACAGCTATTTTGAAAGACAGTGTTTTTTACTAATTGGTTTTGAGAGAAGAAATTCTGGAAGGGGTACCTTTCTATGCTCAAATACAATGAGACAGTATTATTATGGATTAAAAAAGCACCCTGAAGTAAACTCCATAATAGCAGCCAATCTACTTATGATGTATTTTTGTCACTCTTTCTCTTTAAGCATGCACAGAGTTGAGACTGAGAAATAAAAGGTCTAACACAGTCCTCTTCAACAATCCACTTAACTCCCCTGAGAGAGGAGATAAAAAATTTTTGACTGCAAGGAAAGCAGCTCCAAGAATTCTTACAATGAATATTTGCCATTAATCTGAAACCACTCTCTATGAAGATGTTTAATACTGTCTGGACTTCCTTTATATTCTTCCAGGTTGAATTTATTGTACATTCGCTGGAATATAAACACTGAGACATTTTTCTTGTACAGCTTATAACACAAACAGACATTTTGTTTAAAAATAGCACTGCTGTAGTAAGTGAGCTGAAATATAGATCAAGCCACAACTGGCACTATTACTCACCAAAATAAAAGATTAGATATAAATGGAACTAAAGCACTTCATGAACATCTTTCACAGATAATGAAGTGACAAATACTGGCACAAAAATTTGCGTTACTATTTCCAGAGATTTGGGAAATATTGTAAGGATGCTACAGAGTCAGTGCCAGAATGCAAATTGTTTTCCTGAACTTTGAAAAATTTGAGATTTACAGTTTCATTTGCTGCATCAGGGTAGGACAAAAGCAACATTTCATATAACAGGGAAAAAAAAAACACCCAAAAAACAACAAAAAAAAAAGAAGAGAGAGGTATGAATAGAAACTGCTTTCCTTAAACCAGAAAAATTCTCTCCCTTACAGTGTCTTCCTGGGATGCAAGAGACTCTACTCTGCCTTACTCAGACTGAATACAAGAAATCATGCAAAGTGACTGTCAGGTTGCCACATCCCAGGTGTTTATCTCAAAGTTACTGGATACTTAGGAGTGACTGCCTCTGCCATTATTTAATCAAATTACTAAAACATATACTGAAGATTAATTTTGAAGGGTGCTCTCATCTCTCTGAATCTGTGTCATCGGGTGGTTCTTTTTTTTTTAATCCACAAATTTTAATACTGACTTAGGGAAAAAAAAAAAAATCATCTGATCAACTGTGTCAAAAACCTTTGTCAGCAAATCTGTATTTTCAAAGGAAAGAGGGGTTCAGAAACTTGTAATGAATTTTGGTCACAATGCTTAAATCAATTCCCCACGGAGTATGAACTATTTGATATTCAACCTGAGAAAACCAAAAGTGATGATTTGAAGTGTATTTCAGGATAACACCCATCCTTTGGAAATCATATGTCCTGCACCTGTGAAAATAAGCTTAATAGATTATATCCTGTCTAGAAAATTTGACTCCTATGCACATCCATACCTTTGACCAAAATAGATACATGCATCTGGCACCTCTGAACTGTGTTACAGCAGTTCACTTACACCTACATGTAAAATTACAGCAAGAGAAAGTAAGATAGGTACAGCACAATGCACTGTGCTGCTTCCTCCATGGATCAGGTCAGTAGAATTGTATCTTCTCTTTGTTTGGTCCTCTTACTGGCTAGCGACCCAAATCCACCTCTGTGGCCACTCTAAAAACTGGACTTGTATTGTCCAAGTCTTAGCTGTGTTTTTAAGTGTAAGAACAACAATGATGCTTTACTCTAAAGGATCATGATTATTTACTACTACCACCACATGAAAACCAGACAGAAAAATCATTTGTAGAAGGGAATCCTTCCATGCAGCAAATTTCTGACCTATCGTCCCTTCTTATATCTGATCATCTTTAAGGATGCTGAAAATCCTTTCTCCAGTTTTCCTGCCAGTGAATGCTGTTTCTCTGTATATCCAGCCCAAAGGCACACTCTGCAACAAAATAATCATTTATCAAAGCAAAAACAAAAGCTGGGGACTTCAAGAAACGAAGTAGCGCCCTAGGATTATCAGTTAATCTGTTAGACATCTGGGTGCACTGAGGATGGGACTTAGACAAAATATTAAAGAAAGTGGATATTAAATAGATACTTCTGCAATTTATGTTCAATAATTATACTGTCTGGATCCTGAAGTTGTATTTACCTCATATTGATGGAAGTAGGGGATAGATACCACTTTCTTCTGAAAAAAGCTTACCTTGTCTTAAACAGTTACATACTTTACTGTCCTAAAAACTCATTTTAAATACTCTTGATTTTATTTCAAACTAAGAGGTATTCTCCTATAGAGGTACCTTTTACCAACATCTTGATTTCAGAAGTCTGTCTCAAATACTGGAAATTGTTTTCAGAATATCTTCCCTCGGGCCTACAAGAAAGCTGGGGAGGGACTTTTTGCAAGAGCAGGGAGTGACAGAACAAGGGGAAATGGGTTTAAACTGAAAGAGGGGAGGTTTAGATTAGATATTAGGAAGAAATTCTTCACTGTGAGGGTGGTCAGAAAATGGAATAGGTTGGCAAGGGAACTTGTAGATGCTCCTCCCTGGAAGTGTTCAAGGCCAGGCTGGATGAGGCTTTGAGCAACCTGGTCTAGTAGAAGGTGTCCCTGCTGATGGCAGGGGGGTTGGAACTGGATGAGCTTTAAGATCCCTTCCAAACCAAACCATTCTGTGATTCTATGATTCCCATTAAGTGATTCACATTTCTTAATTCCTTCAAGATCATATAATGAATATTCTTGAACTTAGTCTCAACTCAGCCTAGTAGAAGTCCATGTCTTCTTCCAAATCTACACTCTCAACTTGATCGATAGGCATTTACCAGCTATACTACTGAATGGAAAAAAAGAACATCTCAACCATTAAATTCACCTTCCTGGAGAGGAAAACCAAGTAAAACAAAACCAAGCCAAATTTGTTCCAAGGATTTATTTAAACAACAAACTGATTTTTACTACCTCATTTGCTGTCCTGAATAAATGACAGCAGTCCCTTTTTAACACAGCTCTACGAAGCAAGTGGTCAACGTATCAACTGTCCTCAAAAGCTTTAAAATGTAAGTTTTACTGTATTGTAGACAAAAAAGGCATATTCGTGTGACTTTAGGTTCAACATAACTTGGGAAAAGTCATATTCTTGTGCAGTATCAAACTATGTAAAAATATTTCGTGCAGGTCAGAGCAGAAAATGCCAGTTATCATATGCTTGTTATCTCCCCATTTACATCACTTGTAAATCTGCTTAGGATTTGATGCATTTATCCTAAAATCAACTCTCTTTGGAACTGTAAATGTACTACAGAATAAATTTTTACTTTTCAGTTAAACTGGCAGGTCTATGGACTACCGATTCTTACATAAAAATGTGTGTAATTATAAAGCTACACACTGCTTTCAGAAACTGAGTGTATCACAAAGGGAGCTGATTTTTAATACAGTAACTCAAGTTCATATTAATATAAAAATAAATTAAATTAAATCAAGACCTATCAGGCTGCACACAAGAAAAAAAAATATATGTACTAAGAAAACACGACTGGGAAATCACAAACATAAAATTAGAAAAGACTTGATAGAGTGAGTTTGCATAACCAGCTTGATGTTAGGCGGCCACATTTTTGTTGCTCATTTTTACTGTACTGTGGTTTTATTAGATCTCTCTTGCAGCAAACATTTCCATTCTAGTGTAATGCTCAAAACTGAACATCTGCATGCTTCAAGTTTCTCGCAAAGGTTAGTAGCAGCATACGAATGCATTCAAATAAAAATTATTGGAAACTTAATTATAAGAGTTTGACATAGGGTTAAGAATAAAGACAATAATTCAGACAAAAACCTTTGAGCTCCAAAAAGAGCGAAGCTGGTCCTGTAGTGCTGGCTTGACTGTCTGAAAGTTTACAAAAACAAAATCCACTAATTGAAAAACTTTATTTATTCATTTATTTTTAAACAACAACAAAAAAAATCCCAATCCAAATTCAAATATTAAGACAAGCAAATGTCTATCAATTAAGATTTTTGTTTGCAATGCAAGCTGGAAAATTCTTACCTTCAGACTAGGAGTTTGGGTCTGGTCAACAGTAAATCTCATTAAAATACTAAACTGGAGGTCATTTGGAAAAGATTCCCTGTAAAACAAACAAATCAAATTGTGTTAATTACGTGAAATTTTTTTAATACATGTTGAGAGGCACTAAATAAACCCTCTCTTTTTTCAGTAAAGAAAAGCTTTCGTACTTCTAAAAGAAAAAAAAAATCTACCAGTTTTGTTGATGCTGTATCTGACTTTCAGAAACATTCACCTAACTTGTAAAGGACGAAAGAAATTCATGCTTTGAAGCAATTATAGCTAAAATAGATAATGCAAGTAATAAGGAATGATACAATAATGACACGGTAGTACTCAGCAGCAGTACTGCTGTAGGTATACATCACACCCCGCCTGAGCACTGCTCTGAACCATCCTGTTCCACTCTGGGCTGCCTCTGCTCCCCCACACTGCACACGGCAGGTATGACCCTCAAGGGCTCAGCTGCAGCAGTGGAAAGGTGGTGTAGGAGATGACATCCTCTCTCTTCCTGCAACACAAACCATACCTGTCCCCAGATTTCACAGCAGTATGTTCAGGAGAGGCCTAGATGGCTTAGACTGTCCCATACCGTTCAACATTTTTGTTGGAGACATGGACAGTGGGATTGAGTGCACCCTCATCAAGTTTGCCAACTACACCAAACTGAGTGGTGCGGTTGACACGCTGGAGGGACGGGATGCCATCCAGAGGGACCTTGACAGGCTGGAGAGGTGGCCTGTGCTAACCTCGTGAGGTCCAACAAGGCCAAATGCAAGGTCCTGCATCTGGGTCGGGGCAATCCCAAACATAAATACAGGCTGGGCGAGTACACATCCTCTTTCCTGTGAGGATGGTGAGACACTGGAACAGCTTGCCCAGAGAAGCTGTGGATGCTCCTCCCTGGAAGTGTTCAAGGCCAGGTTGGATGAGGCTTTGAGCAACCTGGTCTAGTGGAAGGTGTCCCTGCTGATGGCAGGGGGGTTGGAACTGGATGATCCTTCCAACCCAGACCCTTCTGTGATTCATTCTATGATACTTCAGAGAATGAAAGATAAGAAGTAGGTCTCAAGAGACTCTCAGTCCCCTCAAAGACTACTTAAAAATCTAGCTTTCATTTGGAAATAAAACTGGCCAGGGCTAGGCAGCATTGATGGTCCCCAAAATCACTAAAATAATTTTGGAATCAGGCTACTAGTGAAGTCTGGGGAGAGTGGAAGGAAGACAGAATGCAAATCTATTATTGCCCTAACTCCTTGAAGCTTGCTGACACTAGGAGATTAATATTCCAACAATATCTTTATATCAATATAAAGAAGTTGGAACACAAGCACTGCATCACTGAACACAAGGCAAGAGAACAAACACACATGGCTCAGATGTACATTTTGGAATCAGGTAAGCAGTATCATATAAACTGTTCAGCATTAAGGACTCAAATCCTCTCAAGAGTTATGTGGGAAACCAAAATACTTAAGCAGCAAGGTTTACTGAAGTTTCACTTGTTATTAGCTCTGCATTTTTCCAAGACTCTCACAGCACACTAAAAAAACCCTAAGAACTTGCAAGTAGCATGAGGGCTTGGATTTATTTTTTTTTTAGTGTTTGGGTTTTTGAAATTATTTTTTTAAGAACTCATTACCTTGTGACATCAAGTGCCTTCTGAACTTTTGCTTGTACAGACCCAAGCAAATCAGCACCCATTTTTTTCAACAACTGTGTCAGCAGTACAAACAGCCAGTCCTGCAGATCTTCTTTATGGACCTGGATGAAGTCCACCAGTGTCTCCAAAAACATACTGAACACCTAAAAGGCAGAAGAAGATGGAAAGAGGGTAGGATGGGGCAAAAGAGGAAACGACACTGACGTATGCTGAACTTACAAACAAAGAAGAAAGCAGTAAGGGAATCAGAGGCAGAGAAAGGCAGTGTTTTGCAGCCAAGCAGGAAAAGAAAAAAAAAGAAAAAAGAAAAAAAGAAATCTGTCTTGCTTTTTCATTGGATTTTGATACAAGAGTACATTGGAAATGTTAGCTGATTTCTACAGAAGTTGGACAATTAGGTATTCCATGCAGTTTCGTCAAGAAAATAAATGCTTACTGTGATGGCTGGCGCAACCTCATTTTTTTCAGTAAAACTTATTTTTTTACCCTTTCAAAGCTTTATCATTAAGTTGATTTGACATATTCCTCAAAGACTACAAAAACACTTTCTCTCTAAAACCAAGAAAGCAACTACAATTATTTAGCAAAATATTCATTGTAAATATCTGCATTACTAAAATACTGCAAAATCATGAAAGCTGACCCATTTCTTTATACAAAATATTTGTGGAACAGAACAAGATTGCAGGATACCTGCTATTGCAGGTATCTAAACACAAAATTATTCACCAGAGCAGGGGAAAAAGCTGCTATACATTTCAGATTGGTAGGTGTTTAAAACATAAGGTACTTCTAGTGTTTTCATATATATGTTATCCATTGTGTTCTTTTCAACAAATAATGCTGAATACAATAAATGCAAATAGTGTTGAAAAGACTGCATTCAGTCAAAAAAAGGATGTAACCTCAGCACTCAGATGAAGAAGGGCTTTTTAGAGGGAAGGAGTAAAGCAGGGCATGACAAATCGGTAACTGTTTAAAAAGCCTTTTTAGTCTCTCACTGATTTTATTGTTTTCTCAAGACTTACAGTGAAATCAGGATGTATATGCTCTATACCAGCATGACCCATGGCTTTCCTGTTTCTCTGACAAGAAGAATGGGTGTTTAGGCTGGAAGTGCTTCCTTCACACCTGATATCCAGCTCCAGCACACAGCTGGGAGGAGAAGCAGAAGTATCACTATGATGCAAAGAGGGCTGGAGAGATACTGACTTCTGAGTATTCATGACATGAGTACAAGGTCAGAAATAGCTGCTGCAGAGTGGGGGCTGGAATCTCACACCCTCCTGCAGCTGACCTGGCTGGTCATAAGGCCAAGTTCTGCTGCTGTGATCCCAAACTGTGCTCATACTTCACGTGGCTGCAGAAACCAGCTCATGGAAGCAGGGTTTCTTCCACAGCACTGATCAAGTATGGAGGAGCTGGTGCATGCTGCTGTATGCCTTAATCACAGAGGAAATCAGATCTCTTTTCATGTTGATAATCAACCCAGGGTAAGCAGATTCACATCATAAAGTGAAAGAATCCATACAGGCCTCAAAATTTACATTAGAAATAAAAACTAAATTCAGATTCTTTCAGGATCTAGTAAAGACCAGGGAGAATCTTTTAGTAGATATCTTAAATACTGAAAAGCTGGATGAGAAACTAAACAATACAAATACTACTCAACATAAAGCCCATCAGGATGAGCTACTTTAATTAAACTTCCTTTTTGTGGCAAACTACATTGAAAATTATTAAAAAAATAAAATTTCTAATTCCTCTGCTATCTGCTCAGAGTTTTATTCAAGTTTAAGGTTTAAAAATTATCCTCCCAGTAGTGGGAAAAAATTTTTATGCTTAGGATTTGAAACATCTTCTGTATCTGTCTGAACTGAAACAACATACCACTTTGTGGATGCACAAGTAGCGGGTACAGCTGTAAGACCAAGACAAAATCAAACTAAAAAGTACTTTCTGGACTGTAATATGCCAGCCTTTGGATTTCACAGCCTTAAAATAAGGGGAAAATATACCAGACTTAGGCAAATAACAAAAAATTCTGGTGCTATAAAGATTATACTGGAGGTCTTAGAATTGTATTTAAAACCCTTCAAACTGAACTATACAGCTCAGCAGTATTTAAAAACTGCACCTGTTGGAGTTCACAGACACTGACACACACGTCTTTTTTCATTAAAATGGGAAACGTGAACAAACTGGTTACAACCTCTTATTTGATGGAGTAACGTGGACTTCTTATGACACTCTAAACACGTAAAGTGGTTTAAACTGAAATAATTATGAAGTGAATTATGCATTAATATGGTAAAAGTACTCTAAAGATCCTGTGCCAATGTTTTAGATGTTAGAAATACACATAACTGAGGACTTCATTTTGTTTTCAAGCTTTGATTTTAAGTTTACCACGCACAGTGAACATCTGGAGAAAATTCAAATTAAGTTGAGTCATTTTGTTGTATTTTAAAAAAAACCAAATCACATAATTTTGTCTTAGGCCAAAGCACGAAGAATTTAAGAAGGCTGTAAGAGGTAAATGTAAGGTAAATGATGAATGTGTAATGGAAAATGGAACTCGACCACGTTGAACAATGTATGTGGGTACTGCGATTTTTGCAGTTTCCATTTTTATGATGTAAATTAAAATTCTGAAATTAAGCATCTGAAGTTGACGTTTTTGATAATTTGATAGTGGAAAAAATAAACAGATATGAAAATAATCACAAGTGATCTACCTTTAAAGTGAATTATTTCAGATGTGCCAACCACCACAATATAAAGCAGG